TCATGTAGTATAAGTCCCATTGACGTCTAAAGAGTGCATGATTATAACAAAAGTTTTATGCTCGACTTTTCCGATTTATTAGAAATACATTATTATAAAAAAGTCTTTATTCGCCGAATTCTGGTCCATGTGCTGCCTTAACATACCCGCGTGGTCATGTCACTTGAAAGAATAAGATTAAAGGAAATCTTGGAAAAGGTCGGCCTTTTGGAAGTTAATGCGTTTTTAACTTTTTGTCTGCTCTCTGAAATATAAAGCATCTGTAAAGTAATTGTCGTGTCTAATTTTGACGGTTTGTTGAACTTGGGGAACTAGCTTGCAGTGAGGGACCCTTTTGACCCAGTCTCCTGTCCAGTACAGTTTGGGATGACTGTAAAATATATATAACTAGCGAAAGCGTAAATAAAATGTAACTTGTTTTACTACCGTCTCCGATCAGATCTTTACAAGTAAATAGTCACTAGTTACTATAAGTAAAAATATATAGATTATGCTCAATGGCATTTACAAAATAAAGTGACCCTTATCTACCTAACCTGGTGACCAATAGAGTGATCGAACAATTTTCAACATACACATTTTATTCCAAAAATATCTGAACAACATTGTAAGCGATAAAATGTTTACCTGAGTGTTGGCTCACTCATGTAGAAAAATAGTTTAAAACAAAGAGAATTGTAAATATGTCATAACAATCAAATCTTTGTCAATTTAAATGTAAGAAGAAACTTTTAACAATTGTCATATTAAAGTATGAAACTTTAAAATAGTTTAATATAATCATAAATTCAAACCTGAAAAATAAAATATTAATTAATAAATCACGAAAGCTAAACATTTTGAAAAGTTCTTTTTAAATAAACATATAAAGACTAATAAAAATTATCAATCGTAAAACTTAGTATAATACCAGCTTAATATATATAAACAGGGAAAGCGTATATAAAATGTAACTTGTTTTTATGCGGTCTCCGATCAGATGGATCCCATGTTGATTATAATTAAATCTGCTTATAGATAAGGAAAAAAAATCTGTTGCAAATTTGTGTAAAGTTAATCATAATTTGACTGAATTATTATGACTATAAAGCAAAACCTTACTGAACAGTTAAGATCGAACATGTTTAACATGAAAAAAGGGTTTGAAATTCAAAATATTTAAGAGAAGAGTAGGGCGAAAGTTCAGGCAGACGACACTGGGGTTGGAAAGAGCGAATCATCATTTTCATGTGGAGGTATTAGTCTATAAAATCGCTGTAAATAGCAACAATGTAGGGGTACACGATTGGAGAAATTGGTTATAAAAATAATAATAACGGTTTTATTCTACCTAACAAAGGGTTTAACTGATAAGCCAAAAAAGAACCCCCAAGAAACAACATAAGCAAACAACCTATGCACTAGCCGTAGAACTGTAGCTCTCCGGACGGACAAAATAATGACAGACTGAAGAGCTACAGTGCCACTGTGCCACCCATTGATAGAACTGTATATTTATTGTGCACAGAAAGGCGTGCTGCAGCTTGCAGGGGCGTAGCTTCCAATATGCATTTTTATATGTGAAGGATAGAACAGAGTGGATAAGATGCCCCTGTGCTTAGGCCAAAATATTTTTAAATGAAAAAAAACATCGGATGACCAAATAGTAAATATTTTACGGACAAAATGGTTGTGTAATTTTGTTAAGTCTCTCACAATTCTATTAATCGAATGTAAACACGACATGTAACACTTTTGTATTTTTATAAGGGTTAATGTTCTGACTTTGTTTTGACAGATATCTAAGGACAAGCTGTGCAGCTGTTACGAGGATGAAAATATGGCTACCTCACAGGTTTTAATGTTTCCTCAAAGGCTTAATATACAAATCCTTATTACTACCCAGTATAAAAGAAAATACTTGAAGTATATTCATGATATTAATTTGCTTATGTACTTGTTTTGTTTAGAATGGCTAAAAATGTTAAAAATTTCATACAAATTTAATTATTTTTATTACATGTATCTATATTAAGAATAAAGTTTTAATAAAATTAATGTACATAAAACATACATGTGTATATGTTTATTCTTGAAGATGATAAATGATATAGTTGTCATTTGTTTTCTCAGCCAAGAAAAGAAACAAGATGAACGGAAACCGTGTAGTTTGTCATTGTTCTACCGTATACAAGAAATCTATTTGGTATGTACATTTCTCTGTTACTTATTAGCAGAGACCAGAAGAGCTAATGCAATAGTAAGTTGTCCTCTACCTGTTTGTCCGTCAAGAATTTTTCGAAATGCTACTATTTCCATGTTTTTTGTCTGATTTCAGTATAACAAGGTACAAGTATAGAATAAGAGACATAATTCTTGCTGTCAGTTTTTTATTATGATGAATAGTGTTGCCATGGTTACAGAAATATGTTTGAAATACTTTGAAATTGCTGCTCCTCCTACACTTTTGAACTGGTTTCTTTAAGTACAAAAGTAGGCTACATAAACATGAGTACAGAGGTATAAGTTTACATTCAGATTATAATTAAGAATAGATATTTTTCTAGAAAGCTTACTCCTACATGTACATGTACTTCAGTTTTTGTCTGCAAATTCTTATGAAAAGAGAATAAATTAAAAAAAACCATTGTTCTGTTTATTGCTGTTGCATATTTTTAGGTCTTACTGAGCACTACATTTCTTTTCCATTTTGATAAATACAAACCAGTAGACCTACAGTCTATACAGAGATGTCTAGTTATACATTATAAAATGTAACATTTGTCTTCCTCTATTATAAATACAAACCAGTAGAGCTACAGTCTCTACAGAGATGTCTAGTTATGATTAATATAAACAGCTACATTTGTCTTACTCTATCATAAATACAAACCAGTAGAGCTACAGTCTCATCGGTGAGTTCCCGTTTTGCACACATTTGATAATTAGGTAAGAACAATAGGTGAAAAGTGTGTTTTTATGGCAATTATAGTCTGATTTCTGGTTTGGATTTACCTGTGAATATCTGATTTAGCTTAATATATTCTTAAGACGTTTTATACAATTTTATTTTTTTTTATTTATGGGAAAATATTTGATTTTATTGAATAAAATATAATATTTATTTAATATTATTTATTAATAAAGTCCAATTTTTACAAAAAGAATACTTTACAATCTTGATAAAATTCTAAATGAATTAAAATTATATCAAATAATAAAGAAAAAAGAGAATAAAAATTAATGTGAAAATATTGCCCAAACCAAGAGAATACATTAACTTTGTATTTATTCTCTTATTTTTTCACTATAAGTTCACCTTTCACATACTTACTAAGTATGGTAAAGACTATAGCAATTCAGTAATTATCTCACCTGGTCCCGTTTTTCACACATTTTTTATTACCTGTAATTCAAGTGTGTGCAAAACGGAAACAAACCGTCTCATCAAAGACATCTGGTTATATATAAACCCTGTCACGGTACGCAGTAGATCATATAGCTACATATAGAGTGTGTCATTTCAGAAAATGTTTAATTTATACAGAACTATGACTTTATTCATGTAAGAAAGCTATATTAATTTTATTCTCAGGATAATTATTTTGTACAATATAAAGTTGAAACAAGGGACAATAAGTTCTATTTAGTAGAAATGTAATATTATACAAATAAATATATATTTTTATTGATCTATAAAAATAGCAATTCTTCCAGTTGCAATCAGTATATAATTTTTTTTCTATTGAATAATTAGTAAATATTGATTTGTTAGACAGGTAATATTGTGAACACTTGGAGGCTGCTATCTATTGAGACATTGAAAGGACTCAGTTCCCAAAGTAAAGGTATTTATAAAAAGAAATTATATATACAGCAAAACTTGATTAGTAGTTGGGAAATAGTGAATTCACGGATATAGCGAAGTTATCTTGGATCCCTGGCTATATAAATTTAAAGAACTCCTTATACGGATATAGTGAAGGAATTTTACTGGTCCTGTGACTTTATTATGACCGAGTTTCACTGTAATGTTGTATTATATATTTATACATGTTTAAATTCTATTTGATTTTTAAGTTTATTTTTTTCAACCAGAACATTGAATAAGACAATGATTCAAGAGTAAAGTATAAAGAGAGGCTTGTTATTGATGTAGATAACTATAAGACAGTGTCAAAAGAGACCCATTGTTGATTAATTGCATGTTGTAATTTACAGAGAGCTCTCCCTGACTGAAGGAAATCAACACAGGACTCTGAAACCACAGGTAAAAGAAATAAAAGTCTGGTGTCAGTGATGTATAGGTTGGTGTTACAGAAATCTGTCACAGTGTCCGGGGTTAGTGGGTGTAGTCACATATCCCTTGTGTCAACAGACCGGGTCTGGATCAGTGATTATAAAGGCAATCTCATCTTAACTAACACGACAGGAGACATACTAGATAGTGTGACGGATTTACGTCAGTATGGTGGTGGAGTACATACTGTGAATAGTATTAGTGAATTAATTTATAAAGGCTGTAATAAGAACATCATTAAACTGTCTAAAGATAAAGTAAAGACCACAGTGATACCATACACATCACCATGGACTCCACTGTGTGTCTACAGCTCCCCCTCCACTGGAGACCTGCTGGTCGGGATACGTAATACTGATACATATAGAGAAGGCCAGGTAAACCGTTACTCAAACACAGGAGAACACATACAGACCATACAGCACGACAACACAGGTCAGGGACTGTATAGTGAACCTAACTACATCACAGAGAACTGCAATGGAGATGTTATTGTGTCTGACTCTGGCTGTGATGCTGTAGTGGTGACAGACAGTTCAGGTAAACATCGTTTCTCCTACACAGGTCCTACATCAGGATCAGAACTATCACCATGTGGAATCTGTACTGATGCGCTGTCACACATCCTGGTATGTGATCCTAACACCGACACAATACATATCATTGACCAGGACGGTCTCTTTCTGACACAGTTAGAGACAAAACAACACGGGATAGGCACACCAGTCAGCCTGAGTTATGATTGTGATACACAGCTTCTCTGGGTTGGATCATTGTACAACAACAAAGTAAACATTTACAGACTTATCAATGAAGGGGACGGTCTGACTGGTGAGTTACATTCTTATATGATTGTGTGATTTAGCTAATGATATTCTGTACGTACAGTACAATAATTTAATATTAAATCTATATATTGACCTAAAAAATAATAAAAAAAAATGTATTAACATTACACATGTTACATGTTTATTTAATTATAATTTGTTACACGAAGTAACAAGAAATATTTCTAAGATAAAGATAAATTATCTTATTATTATTTTAAGCATCAATTGTAGCTTAATCGATACATTTTTTGATCAGAATACTTTTAAACACATTTACAAGGCCTGGATTGCCAGCATGTGCAGAGAAAAAAAAATTGAATCATGTTTTTAATAAATGTCAAGTTTTTGGAAATTTTTAAAACATTATCTGGAATTAATTAATCGCCCGTTTAGAACTTAATCAGGTTTATATTACTGAGGCATATTAACAATTTTTTCTCTTAGATAGAAAGGGTTTGTTGATCGAATGCAGATCACTTATAAGTAATGTGATAGATATGGTGGGCTGGGCAAAGAGAGATAACTCCAAAATAAAGAACTGTTTAGGACTGTTTGTGTTTCATATCTATTTGAGAATGTAAATCACTTGAAAATTAAAATGCCATTAGAGTTTTTTTTTTTTTAAATAATGTATACATATACATGTAATACCTATATATTACTTATAATATCATTTTAATATGTACTTACATGTAGTATATAAATTATATAGGTTATGAAAAAATAATATGGTTAACATGGTTAAGAATTAAAAGTTTTGGGCTGAAATCTACTAAAAGCGTAGGAATCTTTAAGTCTATTGAGTTAATCCACTGACCTTTTGCTATTTGTTATATGATTTTTGTCCAGCGTCATTAGTTGTCTATTAACATTTAAATGTTTACAGCTTCTTCTCATAAACTGCTGAACAAATTTCAACTAATTTTGACATACATCATTTAGTAGAAGTTATCAAGAAATTGTGAAATCCATGGATATCCCCCACCCAGAGAGTCTAAAGATGGGGTTCTTATGATCATAGTGTAACATTGTATAATTTATTTAAAAGTCTTCTCTCTCTCCTGTAGATAAATTAGATTACCGGTAGCTACATGTACATGATGTAGGTGAAAAATTGAGTTGCAACAGGGTTAGGGGTTCTTAGGAAGGGGGGGGGGGTTCTATTGATTAAAGGGAGAAGATGTTTATTTATTTGTAATTTTTTTTTTCAAAACCTGTATAGTAAGGAAACAAACTGCAACAAACTAAGTGTATAATAATGATGAGCAATCTCTAGTACTTCTTCTAAAATTGTCAATTGTAAGTTCCAAATTGGCCCAATTGGGTCAGGGATTCTAGGGTTGAAGTGACACTATGTTGACTTTGTAGGGAATTGACTGTACTATTAACTTGAAATGCAATGCTCACTGGCAATGATAGAGTATAAATTTGCAATTAGCAAAGATTTTTTTACAAGATTTTTGAAATTCTAGATGTCCATGATCAAATGTACTTAATCTAGGGCTGTATTAGTTTGCAAGAAAAAATACTTTGCTCTTTCCTTTGCAACAAAGGTTCATTAGGTTATTAGCTCACCTGAGCTTTTCTGATCATATTTTGTCTGTGGTCCGTCTGTCTGTCTGTCTGTAAAATTTTCACATTTTTGACATCTTCTCAAGACTACTGGGCCAGTTTTAACCAAACTTGCCACAAATCATCATTGGGTGAAGGTGAATCATTTTTGTTCAAATGAATGGCTATATGCCCTAATTAGAACCCTGCAAGGATTTGCGGGTGCCCTATAGTAATCACTCTGTCTGTATTTCCATCTGTCATTCTTCTGTCCACATATTTTCTGGTTTTTTTTCAATAATTTTTTTTATGGTTGCCCAATTAAATTCAAAGAGTGAGGTGACTTGTGGCCCTCTGTAAATTGACAAAAAATTAAATATAGAAATTTTATTAATTTTTTTGTATGCATGTAACACTGTGTAACAAATCATTGATTTGTGTACCGATGTAAAATGCTATTTTTATCAAATATAGAAATGTGATTTGAAAGATATAGATCTTTTATTGGGGTAGGGGTTTCACGTATAACTTATATCCATTGCATTTTAACCCCACCCCACTCTTTGAAGCCCTTAGAATATAGGTAGGTATAATTTTCTCCTTTGGCTGGTCACTGTATTTTATTGAAATCTACCTATATGTAAAAGGAGAAAATTGTACCACATGCTATTTGTAAAAAAAAATTGTAAAATCTAGCTGGCCTTTCCCATATGAACAGATTAACGGAATTAGATTTTCTGACGTAAGAATAAATTCATATGCTAAACACTGACCAATCAGCTAAAGAAATTCGTAATGAGTGAGTACCACAAAAATACTATGAGAACATGCTTCGAATTTTACTGCTTTCTGATAATTTTTTTTATGCATTTGAGTCACAGATTAGACATGGATCTACATAATTATGTACAATTTCCGAGATCACAGTAAAATTTATACATACAAACGGTTACAAATAATTGATAAATATGCATTAGTTTGAAGTTTTGTAACGTATTTGGTGAGCAATTCGCTAGGTCTTCAGGTATTCCGGAGTATCAGTGAATACAATTTCAGTTTAATGTGCATTTTTGTCCTAAAAACCGTAAATGCTGAGTACCCATGCGTATTATGAAGTATAAATAGCCTTGGTTGACCATTAAAAAAGTTTGAAATGTAGAAAAGGATAACAGGTAAATTGACCTAAACCACGTGTCTGTGAAAAAATGTAAACGTAGTAAACCAGCATGTATTGTCCTTCTGTCATCGGATTCGACAATGTCTATGTGCGAAATAATAATAAAATAGCCATTTAAGGTCTTCTCGGACACACACATCCCTCTATTGTACTAAGACCCGCCCATTCTCATGCCGTAGAAAAACATATTCTCACAAACCTGGCTGAATTTAGCTGTGATAGTCCCCCCCCTCTAGTTAGGGCAGGGCTACAAGGGACGATCAAAGTTTTACATGGGAACATATTGGAATTGTCTTAAAAAATCTTCTTCTCAAGAAAAGCAAAGCCATGACCCCCTGGTGTAGGACGGGGCCACAATGGACGATTAATTTGTTTTTTCTCAAACATTTAAAGCCATTATTTTGTCAAAGAAATATAGTAACGATTACCGGTACTCGGTTGGTATACATTCAAGTTCAAATCATACATCCTTCCCTTAGGGATAGGTTTATAAATATCTCTCATAAAATACTGAATTAGCCAAAGTGCTCTGGTGAGCAATGTGGCCCATGGGCCTCTTTTTTCCTAGTGAGGGTCCACACTTTTTTCAAGAAGAGATAATTCAGAAATAGTGACAAATTTGGTGATATCTTTTGAAAATCTTTGCAAGAACCACTGGGCCAAAAATTTTTCGACTTACAGCAAACCTTCTGAACGAAGTGTAGAATCAAGTTTGTTCAAATCATGTCTCCGGGGAGCATGATTGTGACTTTTTTATCCAACTTTTGGTGTTTTAGATAAAGTTGAGGGATTAAAGACGTTCTTGAGAAAGGAGAGGACAACTGTTTCCCATGCCAGAGGAATACTTGTTGGGTGTGCTGAGGCTGGAAAAACAACGCTACTGAAGAGATTAAGAGGGCAAAGTCAGAATGTTGGTGAAGTAACAGACTCCACCAGGGGGCTGGAAGTCCATCAACATGTCTTCATTGTTAAAGATGGAATTTTAGAAGGTAACTGATACACATACACAGGACATATAGACAGATAGAAGGTAACTGATACACATACACAGGACATGTAGACAGATAGAAGGTAACTGATACACATACACAGGACCTTATAGACATTTTGTTTGCTGTTTTACAGATTTTACATTTTAGCTCTTCTGAGCTGAGCCAAAGACCTAAAGAAAACATACTCTGCCACCGTCGCCCAAAAAGATTTTGAGATATGTGATTTTTCAATGCAGTTTACATAATATATGCAAAAATTGAAGTGTGCGATGGTGGCAGACACTATTTTTGTCCCCCGCTTTCGCGAAAGCGAGGGGACATTAAATCTCATTCGTCTGTCTGTCAGTCTGTCTGTCTGTCTGTCTGTCCGTCCGTCACAAAAACTTTAACCTTGCCCATAACTTTTGATTAAGTGGACCTATGACTTTCATATTTCACATGTGTATTCCTTGTGACAAGAACTTTCTTTGGGTACCACCAAATTCGACCTTTTGACCTTGACCTTGGAGTTTGACCCACTTTTACACAAAATTTTTATTTTTTTATTTTGGGCATAACTTTTGAACGGTAGATACTAGGACTTTTATATTTCACATATGTATTGTTTGTGGCAAGACCTTTCATTGGATATCAAGAACTTTGACCTTTTGACCTTGACCTTGGAGATTTCTGTACTTATGAAAAAACATTATCCTTGGCCATAACTTTAAAACGGTAGGGACTAGGGCTTTCATACTTCATATATATAATCCTTGAGAGAAGTTCTTTCATGGGATAACAAGAACTTTGACCTTCTGACGTTGACCTTGGAGTTTGGCCCACTTTTAAAAAATTTAACCTTGGCCATAACTTTTGTGAAGGGTTAGGGCTAGGGTTTTCATACCTCAAATATTTAATCCTTGTAACAAGACCTTTCATTTGATATCAAGAACATACACCCTTTGACCTTGATCTTGGAGTTTGACCTACTTTTTAAAAGATTTAACCTTGGCCATAACTTTTGAATGGTAAGGGCTAGGGCTTTCATACTTCACATAAGTAATCCTTGTGAGAAGACCTTTCACTGGATACCAAGAATTTTGATCCTTTTACCTTGACCTTGCAGTTTGACCTACTTTTTAAACTTCGAGTACCAATATATTTAATTTACATTTTAAAAAAGTTTAATCTTCGCTTTGTTGCCATACGGGGTCATCAATGTTTCACAAACGCATTTTTTTTCCTTTTAACTTTTGACTGAGAAGAGATTAGGGCTTTAATATTTGACATGTGCATTACCTATGACAAGATATTTCCAAGCATGCTATAATTCCTGACTCCTTGACCTTGGCCTTCTCGATTGACTTTATTTAAAACAAAATTCAACTTTTATAATTTCTTAATGACATATGATAGGGCGTTCATATTTTACATCTCACCTACAAAGACACCGAAAGCGGGGGACCACAATTCTTTGAATTTGCTTGTTAAATGCTGAAATAAGCACAGAAATAGGTTTTAACATGTTTAAGGAGCCTTTCTTTATTAAAATTAAAAATATACCAAATTAATGATGTCATATTTCCAGGAAAGTCCTCCTTCATGTCATATTCTTTAATGATTTATTATATCCTTCTACTCAACTCTTGTTAAAGACAATTTCATAACTTTTTAAGAATATTAATTTTTAAGGGCACAATAAAGTCCAAACTGTACCTTCTTCTTTATCATTACAGTGTATGACAGTAGCTTGATCCAAAGAGTCGTATCACATCTCATTGACAGGCACGGATCATCAGATCAAACTTGACATTTCTCGTCTTTTTTATCTTATGATCTGCACCTGTCAACTCAATGATATATGACTCTTTTGATCAAGTTACTGTTATAATGATATATATGTACCAGTCTATATTCAATATTATTTATTATGCCCCCCTTCTAAGAAGGAGGGCATATTGCTTTGCTGTTGTCTGTTGGTCTGTCAGTCCACTTAGTTTCCGTTCATTTTATTTGCAACCGTTGCACATACTGAAATGAAATTTGATATACAGGTATATCACATAAATATCTAGTTCAAGTTGTGATTTGGGTATGATTGCACCATTTTTGACAGAGTGATGTGCCTTGGACTTAAAAAATTCCAACTATTTGCAGTTTCCGTTCATTTTCTTCGCAACTGTTGTACATACTGAAATGAAATTTGGTATACAGATTTAGCAGATAAATATCTAGGCCAAGTTTTTTTTTTGGTACGATCGCACCATTTTTGACAGAGTGATGCCCTTTTGGACTTGGTAAAATTCCAATTTGGGGGAGGGGGCATAGGTGTTTTACAAACATCTCTTGTTTAAAAAATATCATATGCATTAAAAGATGGTGAATGTAAAAAAAAAAATATCTGTGATAAATTGTAATGTTATTAAGTATTTCTAGAGTACATGTACTTAGAATGTAAGATGATTAAATTATTTACATGTATTTACAGTAGCTGAAGACGATTCACCATTGAAGACGTTTATCAGGATAAATGTCGCGGACCTGAAGCCAAAAATTAGCGGTGAAGTTGACATTTCCAATCCAAATGAAAATAGAGACAATTCGGAACTGAAAAGTCCCGATAAAAAGAGAGAGGAAATCTCTAGCCGAGAAGAAGAGAAAGTTGAGTTGTCTAGCCCACCAACTGAAGTAAAAGAAGAAGTCAATACAGTAGAGGTAATGGCCAGTGTTCTCTCCTCAGAAGCACAGAAAATGGTGAAGGATGAAATTTTTCAGAAAATCTTGTCTGAAAAAGAGAACTTACCAACTGTCAGCATGCTGGATTTTGCTGGTCAGTTGGCGTATTATGCCTGTCACCAAATTTACGTAACACCAAAGGCCTTCTTTATCCTTGTGTTGGACATGACTAAGAAGTTTGAAGATGTTGTTGAAAAAGAGAAAGATAATCAAGAAGGATCCATCTTCTCCGTGTGGACTTACAAAGGTAAGGCATAATGTTGTGATCTCAAATTTTTGTCTTTGAGGCTTACACTCATCAAGATAAAAAATATGCTGTATAAGGCATTCAAGCTTCCCCCAAAAAATGTAAGAGAAAATAAAAAAAAAATTAGAGAAAGTTCAAAGGTGGGCTAGGCGTTGGGAGGGGGGGGGGGGGTAGTTCACTATAGCCATTAAGCATCTATTTTTCTGACTGTTAACTTCACATTATTTGCTTTTCTAAAGAGCCAGTAGACAAGTTTCAATTACACTTTTTACAAATTGTGGTGGGTAACTGAAGGACTAAGCCTTCTTCTAAAGGAAAAAGATAATTAAAAATAAATGATCAATTAATGGCATTCACAAAATGTTCTAAGAATCATTCAGAGTCAAAGAGGTTTGATAAGAAGCATCCTCTCATAGTGAAATCCAAGTTTATTCAAATAAAGTACCCTGAGAGAAAAGAAGGACCACAATGGGCCAAAATAATTTAAAAGCAAAATACAGGATTAGGCCTAATTAATAAAAACCCCTCTGTCTAGAACAGCTTGCATACTTAAGCTTTGATCAATTTATAATTATAATTATGAGATTGCCTGATGGTTTGTTACATATGTACTATTTGCTACTGACACTATACACAGTATTTGATTGTTGAATTTAATTATGTAAGATTTAGTGTTTTTAAATTCAATTTCATAGGCAGTTTATTATCATTATTTACCAATGAAACATTTAGCAATTACATAAAATTAAAAATATCTCATGAGTGTTTTTACATAATTATTGAGCATTTTTGCATTTTTGTTAAAAGAAAAGGCCTGTTCCTCATGTTCCTGTTCACTGTTGTAAGTACAATAGAAGTGTTAGTTCTCATCAATGATGTTTGTCTGTTTTATTCTAATATGAGGCCCTGTTTCTTTTTCAGACTACCTGAAGTTTTGGATAACCTCAATCAAGACTTTTGGAGGCACTAAGGCACCCATGTTCATTATTGTTACACACACAGAAAGAACATCTAAAGAAGTAAGAATTTGAAATGAAATGCAGATATTTCATACTAGATGTAAATTATAAGAATGAAGTTATTGCTTAAAAAATCAAGGGAATAACAAATAAATTTATTTTTTTTCCCGGTTTTAAATTTATGCAGAACACTCTTTTTTGCTCATCTAAGCCAAGACTCAATTGAGCTTATCTGACTAAATTTGTCTCTCGTCTTTTTAGCTCACCTGAGCCGAAGACTCAAGTGAGCTTTTCTGATCACATTTTGTCCGTCGTCCGTTCGTCTGTAAATTTTTCACATTTTCAGCTTCTTCTCAAGAACCACTCGGCCAATTTTAACCAAACTTGGTCTAAGGGATTCCTGCGTAATGGGGAGTTTTAATTGTTAAAATAAAGGGCCATGTCCCCTTCAAAGGGGGAGATAATCAAGAAAAGACAAAAAAGGGTTGGGGGTCATTAAAAAAATCTTCTCAAGAACCAGTGGGCCAGGAAAGCTTAAACTTATATGGAAGCATCCTGGGATAGTGTAGAATCTAAATTGTTCAAATCATGACGTCCAGGGGTAGGGCGAGGCCACAATAGGGAATCCAAGTTTTACATAGAAATATATAGGGAAAATGTTTTAAAATCTTTTTCTCAAGAACCATTGGGTCAGAAAAGCTAAAACTTATGTGGAAGCATCCTGGGGTTGTGTAGATTCTAAATTACTAAACTCATGACCCCTGGGGTTAGGGCGGGGCCACAATAGGGAATCCAAGTTTTACACAGAAATATATAGGAAAAACCTTTAAAAATCTTTTTCATAAGAACCATTGAGTCCAGAAAAGCTGAAACTTATGTCGAAGCATCCTGAGGTATAGTAGAATTTTTAGCTCACCTGAGCCGAAGGCTCAAGTGAGCTTTTCTGATCACATTTTGTCCGGCGACCGTCTGTCCGTCTGTCTGTCTAGCTGTCTCTCCGTCTATCCGTCTGTCTGTCTGTAAACTTTGCACATTTTTGACTTCTTCTCAAGAACCACTGGGCCAATTTCAACCAAACTTGCTACAAAGTATCCTTGAGTGAAGGGGATTCAAGTTTGTTCAAATGAAGGGCCATGCCCTCATTCAAGGGAAGATAATTGGGAATTAATGAAATTGAGTGGCATATTTTAAAAATCTTCTTCTCAAGAACCACTGTGCCAGGAAAGATGAAACTTATGGGGAAACATCCTCAGGTAGTGTAGATTCAAGTTTGTTCAAATCATGACTCCCCGGGGTAGGGCGGGGCCAAAATGGCCGACCAAAGTTTTGCATAGAAATATATAGGAAAATTCTTTAATCATCTTCTCAAGAATGACAAAGCCATAATTCATCATATTTATATGGAAGCATGCTGAGGTAGTGTAGATTCAAATTTGTTCAAATCATGACTCCCAGGGGTAGGGAGGGGCCAAAATGGCCGACCAAACTTTTACATAGAATATATAGGAAAATTCTTTAAAAATCATCTTCTCAAGAATGACAAAGCCATAATTCATCATATTTATATGGAAGCATGCTGAGGTAGTGTAGATTCAAATTTGTTCAAATCATGACTCCCAGGGGTAGGGAGGGGCCAAAATGGCCGACCAAACTTTTACATAGAATATATAGGAAAATTCTTTAAAAATCATCTTCTCAAGAATGACAAAGCCATAATTCATCATATTTATATGGAAGCATGTTCAGGTAATGTAGATTCAAGTTTGTTCAAATCATGACCCCCAGGGGTAGGGCGGGGCCAAAATGGCCGACCAAAGTTTAGCATAGAAATATATAGGAAAATTCTTTAAAAATCTTCTCCTCAAGAATGACAAAGCCATAATTCATCATATTTATATGGAAGCATGTTCAGGTAGTGTAGATTCAAGTTTGTTCAAATCATGACCCCCGGGGGTAGAGCGGGGCTAAAATGGCCGACCAAAATTTTACATAGAAATATATTGGAAAATTCTTTAAGAATCTTCTTCTCAAGAATGACAAAGCCATAAGTCATCATATTTATATGGAAGCATGCGGAGGTAGTGTAGATTCAAATTTGTTCAAATCATGACTCCCAGGGGTAGGGTGGGGCCAAAATGGCCGACCAAAGTTTTACATAGAAATATATAGGAAAATTCTTTAAAAATCATCTTCTCAAGAATGACAAAATCATAATTCATCATATTTATATGGAAGCATGTTCATGTAGTGTAGATTCAAGTTTGTGCAAATCATGACTCCCAGGGGTAGGGCGGGGCCAAAATGGCCGACCAAAGTTTTGCATAGAAATATATTGGATAATTCTTTAAAAATCTTCTTCTCAAGAATGACAAACCCATGGTCCTCTTGTAATTATTCAAATAATAACCCCCAGGGGTAGGGCGGGGCCTCAATAGGGAATCCAAGTTTTTATATAGAAATATATTGGAAAAAATCTTTTTAAGAAGCAGTGGGCCAGAAAAGTTGAAACTTAGGTGGAAGCATCCTGGGGTAGTGTAGATTTTAAATTATTAAAATCAAGATGGGGATGGGGGGTGGGGGGATAATGGGCCACTAGATATAAGAAGAGGGGAAATCTGGTAAAGAACTGCATTACAAAAGTAATTCAGGTAAGCGATGTGGCCATGGGCCTCTTGTTTTGCTTACCTGAGCCAAATGCTCACGTGAGCTTTTCATGTTCAAAATTTGTCCATTGTTTGTTGTCGTCGGTTTTGCCTTTGTCAGAGTAAACTGTTCAAATTCTCAACAACCGGTGGACCAATATCAACCAAATTTGCCACAAAGTATCCTGAGGTAAAGGGAAATCAAGATTATTCAAATGAAGGGCCACATCCTCTTCCAATGGTAGAAAGTTATGAATTGGTGAAAAACACATGGCATCTTATAAAGATTTCCTTCTCAAGAACCAAAGGGTTGGACAGATTAAACTCGTAGAAGCATCCTCAGGTAGTGTAGATATAAGTTTGTTCAAATCATGAACCCAGGTGTAGGGTTGGGCCACAAAGGGGGATCAAATTTCAACGTAGGGATAAGTAGGTATTTTTTTTAAAATCATCTATTCAAGAACAACTGAACCAGGAAAGATGAATCTCAAGTGAAAGCATCCTTTGGCAGAGTTGGCGAAAGAAGTAAAAAATCTGTTAGACATAGTTCCTACAGATTGTCTAAAAATCACAAAAATTACAGGATACACTAAAAATTTGCCGGACCAAATGTAAAAACAACAAAATGTAAAATTGAAATTAATTTGAGATTGAAGGAACTCTTTCTCGGTGGAGGAAGAAAATGTCTGTTTGATGGGGACAATGTGCTAGTAAATACAATGCAACATGGATCATTGTGGAATTTATAAAGACATATTAGAAATAAATCCTGTTGAAATTTTTTGGTTAACGTTCGCTGAATCACCGTAGCTAGTCCTCAGATGATACATTTTTAGGTCACCTTAGTAAACTCAGGTGACCTTTTGCCATCTGTTTTCGTCCGTCATCGTGCGTCGTGCGTCGTGCGTTAACATTTGAACATTTTCATCTTCTTCTCTGCAACCACTGAACCAATTTCAACCAAATTTGGCACAAAGCATCTATGGGTAAAGGGGAACAAAAATTATGAATTTCATGATCCTTGACCCCCTGGGGCCTGAGGGGTGGGGCCAAAAACACTAAAATTAATGCAATCTTTGAAAATCTTCTTCTTTACTCCTGGACATCAAGCAGTCAAACTGTTGGCATGATTGTAATCAGCATTGAGTCCGCTACCAAAATTGTGAAATTCATGGCCCTGGACTCAGGGGTTCTAGTGCTAGGGCGGGGCTAAATAAGTATATAGGGAAAATGCATTATTTATTTGAAAATCTTCTTCGCGGGTATGTTAAGGAAGCATATAAATCATTTCTCGGGAAAATAAGACTTTTTAAAGAAAATTAAGTTTGATAATTTATCCAAACCACTGATAAGCATAAACTGTTATTAACTATTGCATAGAGATAAAAGAGTGTCTAACGCAAAGACGTGCACCACCACTACTGCATCACGTGCTTTCTATTTATAGCGAAATGTTCCTTAATAAAAAAGCTAACAGAACAACAGTACCCCGGAGTTTAATAAATTCTTTGAGTAAATAATATATTCGGAAAACATCTATTTTGCATAAAAAGTGCTGCTAGAATCCTTCTGTCTTGTCAGTAAAATAATTATTCAACACATTCGCACGAAACCTTACCCGATCTTTTGAATTTTATACATATGAACCGAGATTTTTCGTAAAACCATGCTTAACTCAGGATTCTAGCAGCACTTTCCAAGTATTTTAGAACGCGAACTTTTGATCTGTATGAATCTCATCTTTTGAAATATCCAGCTTATTGTTGTTCTGCTGCTTTATTTTTATCAGGCATGACAGAGGAAAGGCCAACAGGGATTCGTTTATAGCTGACTGTCTTCAAAAGAGAATATAATCGATGAAAATAAATTAGCATACCTGTTTAAATTACTTAACTCCATTTGAATTTCACATAATATTTACGGTACTTGCTTTTAAACCCCATTTTACGCATCTCTGTACATGCCGCTCTTAGCCAAATTCTCTTTACACGACATGATCAATTTTCAAGTTACTTGATGTACACATATGACGTCATCGATAGTAGATTTTAATTAAAATGACAGATAAAGAATAACAAAATAAAAACATTTTATTTTTGTTAATGTTAAGACGTTCCTAATTATTTTCTGGAGTTAAATTACATCTTTAAATACCAATATAACGAAAACTTGTGTTCTAAAATTGACGTCATCTCGCTTACTATGACGTCATAATGTAGCACTGATTATGTCAAGGTAGAATATTCTGTATGCTTCCTTATCACCCCTGCGTTCCCTGCTCCTGGGTATTAAATAAACCAACTAAGTGCATAGTTATAATGACCAATAGTGCCTCTTCCAAAATTGTGAATTTCATGGTCCCAGGGTCAGGGGTTCTGGTGTTAGGGTGGGGCTTTATAGATTATATAGTGAAAATACATGAATTCTTTG